ATGATGAGGAGGGACAATGCATGCAAATGCTACTTGGTTTTCTTTCCCTGCTCTCCCAGTGGTTTAATTCATATCTGATGAGAGTACGGTTTTGAGAAGGAGAATGGCAGATTAGTCTCACTGGTGATACCGCTTCGGATGAAAGCACTCTCATTATTCCTCTCTGAGAGCTCCAGATTTGCTGAAGCAAGGACTGTCACAACATGCTGAGGTCCAGGGATTCCTCAGAGAAAGAGTCTGACATATCTGAAGCTGATCTGCCTTAATTTATGGATATTACACAGTCTGTTTGTCCAACAGCTCTGAAGATGTTTAGTCAGTGCATACCTTGAGTTAATTCAATAGAAAAACTGTCAGATAATACGCCGAGGGATGGGCACAGCAGTCCTGGCAGCCCCTCCTCATTAGGCGCCAAGCAGAAAGAACAGCAGAAGGATCTCATTGTAGGAGTTAACGAGCTACAAATATTGGAAATTCCAGCTCCATTAAAAAGTTGCAGCTAAAAAGGTAAATGCGAAATCTGTGAGCGTCCTTGAGATCAAAGCCTGTTGGAGGGTGTCACCGGGAGACACTGCTCTCCAAAAGGGAAACGAGAGAGAAAAAGGATGAGGAAGGAATGAGAAGGACAGAAATAAACTCCTGGGCCCATTGGGAGAGAGCTTTGGAAAACTTGAGATAACTACTCTAGTGCAACTCAAGTACTTTCTCTAATTAGGATAAGTCAGGGCTTTTAATTGCTTTTAATGCCCCTGGTTTCTCTGAAAGCATCAGTGCTGGCACAGCACCACTCCGGAGGGGAGCTGCCCTTCGGGTGGAGCTGCAGAGCTCGCTGGAACCAGCAACTAGCAACGTTTGCTCGCTCTGCTGCTTTCCCTCCATCACCTTTGAAAAGCAGTGCGAGCATTTGAGCTGCTCCATCGCTTTGTTCACTTTATTTTTCTGTGAAGCTTTTCTTCTTTCAATTAGCCTCTGGGCTTCTTATTAGAGGACAGGCATCTCTTGCCAAACTCTTGCAGAAGGAAAAAAGGAATTCCCACCTTTTCCATTTGTAGATCACAGATGTGTCCTGAGTCAACTGCAGAGAGCCAAAGCACTCTTGCCTAAGGTGTAAACAGAGAAAATACCAACTTTTGATCTACTGCTGCCTTTCCAGCAACATGGACTCACTGCAAGTATCAACATGGCAAGAAGGAAAAAAAAATAAAAATGATTGGCTGGTCTGTCTTGAATCCTGTCTGTGTGTGGATGGGAGTGCATGCAAAGGGCTCGCACAAAAACAAATACAGAGGTGGAGATGAAAATGTTTTGGCTAAAGGTAGAAGCTCATCCTCCTGGGAGCTCACAGCCACTGTACCATTCAAGAATCTCAAAAGACTTCGAACATAGAACTGAAGTATTGTTTCCCTACGTAATCTCTCTGCCCCAAGATGAGATTCATCTCCTTCCATCAGGACCCTGTGCTATGTAACTTCAGAAATCTACATGCCGTGGAATGCAAACATTGCCACAGCTCAGGATTCGCTTCTGCATGATTCCTCAACCAGAGGGAGTCAGCAGCTATTTCACATTTTAATGGATGTCATTTCTATGAGTCCCATTGTGGATATTTAAAAGTTTCCAAAGTTTACGTGTTGGAATCCAAGCTAGAAAGGAAGGAAAAGGAAAGAGCAGTAATTTTGGAAAAGACTAATGTAAAATGCATATATTGCTGAAATAGGTGTATTTCTGGTCCTTTCCTGTCCTGCCCATCCAAACCTATAAAAAGCATTGGCTTGCATGGAACAGCCTACACTTGTATGCTCAGTAACACTGCCAATGGTGGTGCTGGATTTAAGACTGTACTTTAGAGAAAACTTTGCAAGGAGAAGGATGATATATTTGAAACTCGTCATTCATTTCTGTACTCTTGAACTTTCCATAATCCTCATTGCTTTCACTTTTCTGTCCTGTCCCCAAACACTGGCAAGTCAGTAGAAGCATCTCAGCATCCTCAGGAGAGGACAAAGTGAAGGCAGTGCTATGGATGAAACAGAGAGAAGGGCTTTCCTGGTTTCAGGTGGCCATGAGGGTGATGAACTGCTTCTAGCTCCTTACAAGATGAGGTCTACCTTATGAGCTGTGGTTCCATCCAACTGCAAACAGCATGGAGCAAAATGCCACAGCTCGACTCCATGACCATTCAGTTGGTTTTCCTTGTACTTCTTTTGGTGGTTTTCCTTCTACTTTCAGTGGAATATCACTGCAGAGGATGGCCTCCACCTGCCGAGGGTCTAAACCCATGAAACTGGCTCCCCTGAAGCTGTGAGTTCAGCTTCAGCGTTCTCTGAAAGCATGGGCATTCCTTTAAACATTTTTGGTCAATAGGAAACCTGCAGCCCTCAGCATGAATTTGGCATGTCAAAACCATCTGCGAGCACTACTCATTCTGTGAGTAGACAGGAAAAAGAGGGAGCAGCTGGTCCATACATCTGCCTCTAGTGCACTTTGCTGTGCCATACCTATGCTGAATGCACCTGCCTGGATGAGTGTTCAGAGAGAAGAAGGGAAGGGCAGCAGCAAGGGAGAGTATGAAGCCCCTGCCCACTGCACACAGAGGCTGGAAGCAGCGAGCCAGGGCTTGGGGCTGCCTGGAGGAGGATTTCAGCAGGGCTGTAAGCGGATCCAGGCTGTGACAGCCAATCTGTGCCTCTAAATCCAGCCCTGCAATTATTATGATCAGCTTTTTGAGAGACCATTAGATTTTGAAAAGAGAATTTGAATTTATAAAAGGAGTTCTTCTAGATAAGGTCAGGGCTCTATCAGAGGCTTCATTTACGAGCTGTATTTAACGAGCATTACAGACTGATGAAAAGCTGGACAATTCAGCAGAGGTCAGAGCCGCGTTGCAGCACTGAACAGCCGTCCCCAGCCTGTGCAGAGCGTTGCATTCCAGTTAGATCAGCATTTTCGAGCTGAGTCACCCTTGCGCAGCTCCAGTGTCTGCCCTGGAGGCCACACACACACACACACACACACACACATGCACACAGAGCAGGCACTGAGCTCCCCAGCCCTCTGGGATGGGCACAGAGCTTCCCAACCCACCAGGATGGGCACACAGCCCCCACTCTGTTACCCCAAGGCCTGTTCCACTGCACCTCCCCATCCTGCTGCACAAGAACACAGCTCCAAAGGCTCAGGGCTCTGGATAAATTAGGCTTGTATGGAGATGACAGACAATGTGTTTGCACTTCAGCTCAAATGAAGAGCATCATTTCAATAGTGGGATGCTCCAGGGACACATGAAACATGGGGAACTGAGGATGTTTCTTGCTTAATTTTTTAATCCTTTTCCAAACGTTTCAGCACGCTGGCTTATGCTCTGCACATTCACTTCCCCTCTCCCTACGCTTTGTAGTTTATGTAGACTTTGAGCTTTCTTTCTGTTTCAGACAACTTGTAGCTAATGATGTGGAGCTCTGCAGTTTCAGGTACGACCTGAAGAAAGCCAGTCAGTCTCTCTGGGACAGATCTTCTTTTGGTGCAAGCTGCACAGCATCGTGTTTGTGTTCCCATCTGGCAAATAATGACCGTATCACCTTTCCTCCTGCCTTTTGTCAAGGGAGAGAACGACCTGTCTCTTCCTAAAGGCTTCAGACAATGGCTGTGCTCAGGGACAGGCATAAACACAGCTGTATTATAACGTCCTGTTCATTCACATGCATGCTGCATACACCACTTCATTCTCAATTATTTTTTTTTTTATTTATTTAGAAATAATAAAATAAGACATAATATATAAAAATCTGTACAATCCACAATTTGTGCAGTACATTAGGAAGACTTTGATACAAAAAGGCTGCAAACAGGAAAATAGTAATGGACAACTGTCAGATGTCTAGATTGTTCACCTTACAATAGTTGGAGGCCAAAAGTCATTACAAAATCAGTTTCTCATTGGCTGTGGGATGGCAACTACGCAGCACCCTTCTACTTTACAAGGGTCATGAGCAGCCATAATTTAAAGACATTACAGTACTTCTCAGTTTTTACCTTGTAATCCATTATGAAAAAGAAGATCTAAGAGAACAAATCAAATGCCTGGACCCTTTGTCTTTCCTGGGAAAAGCAAGTGCTAAACGAACCACACAAGTGTTAGCACGTCTGGGCGAGTATCATTAAGTACAGCCAATAAGGACTTGACTCCTGTTACCTACCAGCAGACGGCTTGCACAGAAGAGACAGAGGAAAGAAGAGATCCCAACCTTCCTCAGACATGCTCTTTGTCACTGTATGCAGTATTGTGTTTCAGACATCAAGTGTCTCGTTCAAGTATTTTCAGGGAAGGGCAGAAATAACATATTCCCCCCAGTCCCTAAGCAAAATACAGTATAAACCTTCTGTGCGCCCCAGCTGAGCCAACTTTGTCCTTGGTAAAGAGACCAGCCCTGCAGGAGCCTCCGGGTAGAGCTCAGTCAGTCCAAAGGGCCCCTCCTTAAACATCAGCTTAACCCAGGATCATCAGAAATGGACCAAATGCTATCACCCACTCTGTACTCCTTAAAAATAACATTTTCCAATTGACCAACCCAGCTGCTGCTGTAGAAGTGTGCTACGATAGTCGGTCCTACACTGGGCTCACCAAGGCATGTTGGTAAAAACAGGAATGATGGACGAGGGGAAGGAAGGGTACCACAGCGTGCACATTGCAGGTCAGTTTCTAGCAGCTTCCCAGAGCCAGAGGCCGAGTGCAGCTCTGCAATGTGAGAGTCCATCAGCAAAGACAAAGGGTGGTTAAAAAAAGAGGAAAAAAGAACTCTGCAGAGAGTGCCACGGTTTGCCTCGATGCACACCCTCAGTAAGACTAGCACTGGGAAAGCTGGTAAATTTAAAAATGCCAGTAGCTAGAACGTGTTTTCAACTCAAAAGTCCATGCGTAAAAATAAATAAAGAGTTCATAGCATTAGGAATCCTATAAGGCTTGCAATTATTTGCTAAAACTCATGCTAACCGGTAGCATCTAGGTACTAGCTAGCCGAGACTGCCGAGCAGAATTTATACTTCTTGTGGCCTTTTCTTTTTCTTCTTCTCCTTGTCCTCCTTTACAGACTGCTATTTACATTTGGCTTTAAATATGAAAATACTTGATAAACTTTATAAAATGTACATTTTAAAAATAGTTCTGAAAAACCGACTTGAAAAACAAAAAAAAAAGAACAAAACAAAAAACCACAAAACAAAACAAAACAAAAAGAAAAACCCCAACACCCAAACCCCAAACTTCTGCACCAGAAATGTTAAGGGGAGGGGATCTTTGTAGTTTTCTGTTGTTTTTGTGTTTTTTTTTTCTTCCCCCTCTGAATTTCTCTTTAGAAAAACAAGCAGAATCCTGCATCCCCTTCTCCCCCATCTCTTCCCTCGGGCATCTTCAGTATCATCCTGCAGAGCACTGTGCTCCTGGGAACACTGACCTGGAGGAGAGGACCCTTTCTTCCTCCTTGGCGTCCCACTTCCATCCCTTCCCCTTTGCATTTTCATGCTCCCTCTGTTTCACTGAATACTCTTTGGTTTAGGTATTTCCTTTTACAAGTATATCACAATAGCAGCACTGGCAGTACTCAGCTGTTTTCACCAACGTTGACCCAGAAACTGCGACCGAGTCGCATTGCATTCAGCTCTCCATTACTTCCCCCCACCCCAGTCACCGCCTTCTACGTGCACTCAATCATCTGCCCTCTCCAGTCACCAAGTCTACGTTTACAATGTCAAATTCCCACCGTTTCACACCCAGATCCCATCTGACCAGACACCGTTTCATTGCAGGCATTTCTTTCAGGCAGGGCTGGAAGGGGCCAGCAGCCTTCACAGATATCTGTTTGCAGAAGACGTTAGACCTAGAACAAGCTGTTTTTTAATGGCATACAGTGATCCAATACTGTAACAGTGGACTAGAGTTGCTGTCCCCATCACCTCCCCTCTGCAGCAAACAGCCGTGCCACGAAGGCAGTGCATCCTTCAGCTTGGAGACACAGAGGCTCTACAGCCTGGGCAAAGGAGCCAAACACCACAGAGCCAAAGTGTGCTCAGAGCCCAGTGGTGCTTCTCATCCACCAGTCATTGATACTTGTGGAGAACAGGAGGCAGGAACACGCTTTACAGCCTCACTTTTTCTGACACCTTCACCCTGCTGGAGAGAATCATCTTCACAAATCTTATCACCCCTGTGCCATTCCCAAGCATCAGGAAAGTTTTTTTTCCTCTCCATTACCCTCTCACTTCCTCTATGGGAGGTTTATGCATTGGCTCTTTATGCAATGCCCTCTCCAGCCGTGCTGTGTTGCAGCTCTGGCCAGGTGTCACCCCAGCAGCACATCCAGTGGCTCAGGATGCTGAGGCTGAGATGGGGCACTGCTGCAGTGAGCAAGTGCAGGGGATGGGGGTCTGTTGTCTGCCATCACCCCCCTGTGCTTCCCCTTAAACAAGAAGGGGATTTCTTCCATTACAGAGGAGGGGCGTGGGGAGGACCCCTAGCTCACTGTAGATCCGAGTCTTAAGCTTTTAGAATAAGGTGCAAAAATAAAAGTTGTAAAAAGAAAAAAAAAAAGAAATCAAAACAAACAAACAAACAAAAAAAAAGTGTCTGAGGTTTGAAATTCTTTGTTTGTTTAAAGCAGCCTGTTCCTTTTTTTTTTTTCCTTGTCTTTTTTTCTTCTTTTTCCTCTTTTTTTCTTTTTTTTCCTTAAATAAACTCCACTGTGCAAAACTGCATTTTCTTTGGTATCCTCGTAGGTAGTTTTAACTTAGTACTTTTCTTATGCATATATATAATCTTTTATTTCATCGCTTCCTTTAGACAGAGAATTAAATTCTCCCCCCAAAAATCATCCTTTTGCTGGAGGCTACTGATTGGCCTGATATTACATAATGCCCCTTATGTAATTGGAAAGAGAGAAATTGATTCTAGCTATCAAACTACTGGCCTCAAAAAAAGAGTTTAGACTTTCTGGCAACGTCGGCCTCTCTGAAGTGATCACGAGCTTTTCAACCCCAAAAAGTTCAACACTGACCTTTTTTTTCCTTTTTTTTTTTTTTTTTTTTTTTTTTTTTAAATTACTCAAGAGAAAATAAAAACTACACTGCAACAAAAATAACCATTTGTGTTCATGTAGTTAGCAGCAGCTTTTTAAAAAATAATTATAATAATAATAATAAGGCAGATTCTTGCCTTTGTTATGCCATTAAAAACATTCTTGTTCCCTAGAGAGAAGCATTCTGGAAAAAGTTGGAAAAAAAAAAAAATAATAATAACCCAACCAAAGCTTGCCTGCAAGTTCAAGTTTTGTAAAAAAATATATACATAATTTATTCTACAACATATGTGCCTTCTGTTCATACTTAGACATGTTTAGTGCTTTGTGTTTAGAGTTCATTCTCTGTCGTCCCTCCTCTGAGGACAGCCCTCAAACCAGCCGGGGTTTCTCAGGTCTGCTTGCCTTCACGCCGCTCTTCAACAGTACCGTTGTCTGAAAACTGTTCTGGGCCAACTTCTCAGGTCAGCGTGCCTTTGACCGATAGCTGTTTATTTATTTTTCTTTCCTTTCAACCGAAAGAGAGAGGAATTGTTTGCCAGTCATATTTCCGATTCGCGCCGCAGCGGCCGTGGCTCTAGGGGCACTCCTGCCTGGTTGTGATGGTCCATGTCGGGGTGGGTGTCTGTGCTCGTGCTTTCGGGTACCCCCGTGTCGATCTCGTCCTCCTCCTTGCTGGTGAGGGCCACTTCGTTCTCGTAGCAAAAGGAGTTTGCGTTCGAGAGAATGTACTTCTTTTCTGCTAAGTCTCTGGCACTGCAGATGGGTGTGTTGGGCACTTCGTATGTTTTGTGGAACCTTGAATAGTCCACTTTGTAGTAGTTCTTTTCTTCAAAGAGTACGGGCTCATAGCGGTGGCCCCAGAGGATTTCGTTTGCCAGATATGAGCTGCGGCACTGGGTAGTCATGGCAGTGGCTTCCACCATGCCCTCTAAAATGACTACAATTTCAAAGTCAGCATTGTCCATGTCTTGTTTGCTCAAGTCGTATAAAGGACTGTCTTCATCTATTTCGTGTACTATTGTAATTGGGGAGACTAGGAATATGCGGTCTATCCCACTGTCGAACCCTACATTGATGTCTATTTGATCCAAAGGGATGTACTCCCCTTCTGACGTGATCCTGGACTTGAGGAGCTGTGCTCGTACGTGTGCCTCAACCAAGTGGCTTTTCCTCAGGTTTCCGACACGCCACATCAGGCACAGTTTCCCATCTCTCATGGCCACCACGGCGTTGTGGCTGAAGACAAGAGTTTCGTTTCTCTTTTTTGGTTTAGCCATCTTTGCCATGACGGCACCAATGATGAAGGCATCAATGATGCAGCCCACTATAGACTGGAAAACCACCATGAAAACAGCAATGGGGCACTCGTCTGTGACACACCTGAAGCCGTAGCCGATCGTGGTCTGGGTCTCAATGGAGAACAGAAAGGCTGCAGTGAAGCTGCTCACTTGAGAGACACAAGGCTTGTTATTTTCTTGGTTCTCCAGATCCCCGTGCAACAGCGCAATCAACCAAAACACACAGCCAAAAAAAAGCCAGGAGAGGATGAATGTCAGGCAGAAGATTACCAGCATCCACCTCCAGCGGATGTCCACGCAAGTGGTGAAGATGTCTGCCAGGTATCGCTGTCCCTTCTCACCCACGTTAATAAACTGGACGTTGCAGTGGCCATCTTTTTTGACAAAGCGGCTCCTGCACTGCTGCCTCGTGTGTACCTTACTTTTTCCATTCCCAAAGCCGTTGGCGACGGCCATGGTTGCCAGCTTCATGCCGTCCTCTTCCGAAGACACGATGCTGTAGCGGTTGGTTCGCACGCTGCCCATCACTACTGCTGTGGACTGAGGTGCTTCTGCTTTAGAAAACAGTCTAAGTTTCTGCAAAACCCTTTGGAGAAACAGTTTTGAAAGTTCTAGAGGAACACACACACACAGAAAAACTGGGGAGAGGCTGGAATCCCCAAAAGCCCTTGGATCAACCAAGGACAGTCTTCTGGCATGCAGAGTTAGCTTAACAAGTAACCGTCATAGAGAGGGCATGGTCTGTAAGAGAAAGAGAAATGGCATATTAGATCCTGGAGGAAAAGGATAATGAATCAAGCCTGTGAGAACCATGTAAAAATCACTCCTCTGGAGTTGCAGGAAGTTTCTTTATTCTTAATGGCAGCATTTTCTGGAATGTGTGAGCTCTCTGAGCACAGTTCTCTATTGACCAAAGTGACATCATTACTGCAGAGCAGCCACTCTTCCCAAATGAGAGCCCTGAAATGATCATGTCAAACAAGTCTCTAAGCAATATTCCACTTCAAAGTTGGGCATGCAAAGAATCTATCAACTGTTTGCAACAGGGCTTTTTGTTTATTTTGCAATAAATAATTAGCATTAGCCTCCCTCTGTTCAAATAATACTGAAGCAGGTTTTTAAATGACGTGCAGTGTCTGTCTCCTGGACTGCTTTACCTATGCCAAACAAGAGAGTGTGCAAAGGGAAGACAACATGTACTGAGAAAAACAAAGTTGGAAAATGCAAATATCAGTTATTTCCATGAGATTACACTGCATAGAACTTAGATTTTTCTATTAAGTGGGAGTTATAAAAGGAGTTGTGTGTTTTCTGTGAATGGCAGGAAGACAGGCTGCATCAGTGCCTTTAACTCCATCATTTCACTGTGTTTGGGCTGGTTTTTACACTCACATTAGGGTGAGTTGTAGGGAGCAAACTAAACATCATAATGGCCCTCTGTGAATGGGAATGACAGAAGGCTCCAGTGGTGGGACTGCATGGGGGTAGGACTGCATGGGGGTAGGACTGCATGGGGGTAGGACTGCATGGGGGTAGGACTGCATGGGGGTAGGACTGCATGGGGGTAGGACTGCATGGGGGTAGGACTGCATGGGGGTAGGACTGCATGGGGGTAGGACTGCATGGGGGTAGGACTGCATGGGGGTAGGACTGCATGGGGGTAGGACTGCATGGGGGTAGGACTGCATGGGCATCTTCAGAACACCTCAAGGTCTTGGATGCCAGCAACTAAGGCTCAGCATAGAGGCTGCAGAACCTTCTTCCCGAGGGTAGAAGCTACCAGACTTGTTTCAGGGAGGTCTGGCTTAGACCCAGGTTTAGCTTTTAACAAGTGCGTCATCCATTAAGTCATGTACTGTATATCAGGAAATGTAATTGAAGTACTGCAGAGGATAAGAGATGCATTAATGCAACTGCTCCATCCATACATTCACCTCATGGAGGAAATAAAACCAAAACCAAGCGGCGAGGAATGTCTGCTATCCATTTACCCTAGAAGAGGAGACTTAAGTACTGTTTACATTGGTGGGGGATTAAATCACCGTCCTCTTCATAAATCAATATAATCACAACTCATCTGAGTTTGTCCCAAACCCAACACATCTATTGCTGCCAAAGAGCACAACCTCTGCCCATGGCACAGCCTCAGTACCACGGCTGCTCCTCTGACTCAGCCCGACAACTGCAGCAGATAGCAGTCCATCTCCTTCCCCCAGAGCCTCACAGAGGTGTTCCAGCAACTGAAGGGATTTCAAGCAGTTCCTCGGCCCTCCCACATCCTTCCACTGCATTACGAGGGCTTTAGGTCAGCAAACACTTGTTGGGAAAAAGAGCAGGTGATAAACAGAAAACAACGGCGTGCCTGCAGTTGCGTGCAGGATGTTTTTCCCTGGAGGATCTCTTTGAGTTTTACTTTTACCTTCCCTTTTTTCCTCACTTCTGTTTGTTGTGCAATGGGTCCCGCCGCCCACTTGCTGAGATTACTCATCTGTGACTGCAGCAGCAAACAAGACATTTTGGCAGCTTTGGATGGGTTCAGTTGTGTCCCATTTGAGTAAAACTCTCAGCAGTTTAATTTATGGGATGGTATAGCCCTTACACAGCATACGCAAGATAGTCAGATAAATGTAAGGACTCACTTTTTCCCTCACACCTTTTTAATCCCAGGACTTCTCAAAAATACAAAGGAATTCTTTGAATGCTCACTTTTTTTTTTAAAAAAAAAAAAAAAAAAAAAAAAAAAAAAAAAAAAAAAAAGGACTTGAAAGGACTTAGAGAAACCTGAGCAGAGGGTGCAAGTGAAATTGTTTATGCATTCCACATGAAAACGTCCCCGAAAAACCACTGCATTGGTTCACAAATTGATCACTTTTCTAAACCACATCCTATAATTGCAGACATGTTCGAATTCCACATTTGGAGTCTGTTTTGTTCCGAGCTGATGGAAATACACAGCCCAGGAAACAGCTCATTCTGAAGAGTTTTATTTCCCCTCTGCATTGTCTCTTGGATTTTAGAGGAAAAACTTGCAGCGGAGGGAAAGATAAGCTGTAAAGTCTCAAGTGTCAGAGCAGGCAGCCCCCCCCCCCCCAGCGAAAGTCTTGACCTGGGGACGTTTGTTTGAATTCCATAAATCACTGAAATCCTAACGCCAACTTCCTGCAGCAAGCTGGCTGCATTTACAAGCTTGGGAGCTGAGCGATGCAGCACACGCTGCTGCCATCCCATTCACTTCTACCTGCTGCACATCTGCCCAGCTGTGCTGCCTACAGCTGCGTGCTGCCGGGAGCGGAGCTGCACCTCTGGATGCTGAGATCCTCATAGCAGAGGTGTGACTGGGGACGCGCTTAGCCAAGTGTGCAGGCTGCTCCTTGAAGTTTGCACACAACGACGCTCTGGCGTGCTCCTGCTGCTTGTGGGAGAGCTCTTTTATTTCTGCACGGCACAGATTGGCTCTTCCCTGTGAGCGCTCAGCACGGGGAGGATGCGAGATGGGACTGGAGGCAGCGGGTCTGCTCCTGGTCCTGCTCCATCCCCTGTCAGTGCTCACCTTGACTCACAAAGCTATTTCATTAGTGGTCCCCCAAGTCCCACGGGCGATCAAGCAAGCTTGAAAATCTAACAGTACTTTTTATTTTGCTAATCCACCTGCTGCTCAAAGGCTAAATGAGCTCGTTCCCCCAGCACACCCCGGCAGCAATGTTTTGGAGGCACCGGGGATGCTCAGCTAGCTTGGGACCAGCTCTGCAATCCTCACCAGGCTAAAGAAACCAAGCCAGAACCCACAAACCAGCCCAGCCCTTTGTGTAATTGGGCCCAGCACACTGCAGCCAGGCACACATGCACGCGTGGAGCTGTGAACTCAATCATCACTAGGTGTGTTATTGTCATTAATGCATGCTACCTTTCCTGCTGGAAGAGAATGTGAGATTAGAGTGATGCAGCTTGTAATTACCAGCACTGGAACTGATGCAGTGTTATCAGGATGGGATGGGATGGGAGAGCTCTACTGCAAGGGGATGCTTGGAGGAACAGAGGAAAGGGGGGCTGTGCTGTGTCTGCTGCATTTCTGAACTAAATTCAGTGCAACTCCCAAGCCCCCACTTAGCAAGCATCCCCCCTAAACGTTTCCCCAGAGGAAAGACATTTACAATGCACATCTAAACATCACAACCAGCAGCTCGGAGGGAATTTCTGCAAAAGGTCTGATACCCAGCAAAACCCATTAAGTGCCAGAAGAGCAGAGGAGAAGAGGAGCACTAATGAGCGCTCAGAGCAGCTATTCCCAGGCTGATGCCACGCAGCCCCGCACCCTGAGCCGGGCACATGTTGCTAAGAGAGCAGAAGCGCTACCTTAGCAAAGCCTTCCCCCGCTGCCCTCGGTAAACAGAACAAAGAACGATCGCAAGAGCAGAGCCCGATCCTACAGCCCGTGCTCATTGCTGGGCACGACCGCCCAATTGCGCTCCCCAGCCCCGGGGTCACCTCCAAGGCATTGCCCAGCACTGCTTTACCGGGACAGGACTCGGGTTACACCGAAGCTGTCTTCAAGGAGAAGGATCTGTCCTGCTCCAACAGGCAGTGGGAAGTAAAAATAAAATAAAATGGAAAAAAAAAAAAAAAAGAGAAAAAAAAAAGCAGATGATGTAGGGAAATGGGTATGAAGAAACAGGAGAAAGGACACAAGTGGCGTTTGCATCTGCTATATCCACAAAGGAGCCGGGTTCGGGATATTTCTAGCTGATGACAAAATAGCTACAAGTGAAATAGCCATCACCAGGGGGTGTACTTGGTGCACCGGCTGGGAGGATGGAAAAGCAAACAAGTGTAAAGGTAAGGCTGGAGCTAGGAACAAGTGCTGCGGGCGGGCACGGTGCGCGGCCCCAACACCTGCAGCCTCGCCGGAAAGGCACAAAGCAGCTCAGTCCCCATCGCTAAATCTGTCGCTTCTTATCGGTATTTTTTTTCCTAGTCACGAACTAAATTGAAACAATGCATCCTCTCCACACACTCCCCAGCTGCAATATGGTTTCTTTCTTCCCATTCTTGGCAGAATGATCGCATATGAAGAAAACCCCACGTTCCCATAAAGCCAAGTGAATGAAGCTACAGGTTCCTTTCATGTCCCTCTGAAGTATTTCGGACACTCCTCTATAAATGACGCATCTGATAACTCAGATTTGATAGTTTTGACCTCTGTCTTACACGGGAAACAACAGGCAAGAAGAGCAAAAGGGATGGAGCGGTGCTGCGTCTGCACGACGGAGTTGTCATGCAAACTTCCAGCCCTTCCCCCGAACAAAATATCTCGGGGGGAGCAGCTGGTGCATGGAAAGTTATGAACATAAACAGATGCTGCAAGCAGATGCTCGAGTGTTCCCAGCATACCTATCTAATTATTTGAGGCACCCAGAATAGCTCGTGTATGGTGCACGAGAAACGCAGGAGTTCCCCCTCCGAGCGGTTATGCCGAAGCGTACAACAGATCCACGAGCACGAAAAGCGCTAACTCGACAATGCTGCATTAAGCCCCGACGCATCGCATCGCCCCGACCCCTGATGGCACCTCGGGGCGTCCCGCATAGATGGGGAAAAGAAAGCGCTCCTTACCTGCCGGTGGCTTAAACAGAGGTGCTTAGATAGTTTAAAGGGTGTTAAGATCCGCGGGGACGCAGCAAGCCAAGCCAAGCCAATCCCAAGGTGCCCGCCGGCCGCCGCCGCACCGCTTGCAACTGAGCTACTCAATGAGCCGCTGCCCCCTTTTTGCGGGCTGCCATGTGATGTTTAATAGCGGCCCTGTCGGCCCCGCCCTCGCCGCTACCCCGCACCAATGGCAAACGGGAGGCCGGGCCGCACCGCGGGGCTGCGGGGCTGCGGGAGAACGGCTCCGGATCGGGGGTGGTGCGGGGCTGTGCGCCGGGCGATGCTGGGCTGTGTGCGGGGCGATGCAGGGCGATGTGGGGCTGCCCCCTCTGGGCTCAGTGCCGCGGTAGATGGAGCGCAGCCCGCGGGGAACGGCCCTACCCCAGGACAGCCCCGCAGCTCCGGGCAGCACCTGCCCGCGGCTGTTACCCCTCCGGGGAGGCGTTCGGTGGGTCTGCTTATGAAGATGCTGGGTGAGGCTGCTCGCTCTGGTCTTCTCTTGGGCTCCTGTGTGATGCCTCGTGTAGTAAGGAACAATAGCGGGGTAAAGCAGTTTGGTTTCCTTTGGTAATCGTGTTCCATCTTCACGAAATGCTGAAATGTGTGGTATCTAATCACAAAGACCCAGCCTTCACATACACCCGGAGCAAGTCCAGCACACTCCACTCCATCACTGCTCCTTAAACTGATATCTGATGTCCCTCTCAAAAGCAAAGTTCTGTCCCCTGGTCTAAGACCTCCTGGAGCAAGCAGAGTATTTGTGTGCTGCGGTGTTTGGGTGCATCTCTTTGTTCCATACATCACTTGTAGAAGGTTGTCCTGTCCGGCCATGGGTGAAAAGTGCAGAAATCAAAATGGCATTTAATAGCTTGTTCTCCCTATGGTAGATGTGGCCTAAGACATCTGACAAAGAAAACAGGGATGAAATGTTTGGCCGGGAGCCTTGCAGGAACAAAAACAGCCTTGTAAGCATGCTCTGGAGTTTGCCAAACTCCAGCTCTGATGGACAGTGCAGGGGTGTGAGTTTCCGAGGCAGGTGTCCCCTGCACAGTGCTAACAGCTGAGCTGCAACACGGAGCCTTGAGCGGTGGGCTGGAAAAGTCAGAGTGAAGGTGACTGTCGAACGCAGAGCACACGAGGCTGTCGGAGTTGGTGAGGGCTCTGTGAGCTGCACCTGGGACTGCAACAGCAGCATCTGTAGGGACAGACGGATCCTCCCCTCCTTCCCGTGTCCTCGACAGGCTCCAAAGATGATTCCATGTTTCTACAGCAAAGCTTGCAGTCACTATTAGGTTGCTTTAAGCTTTGTAAGCGTGCAACTCTGACATGAGCAAGTCTTGAAATGCTCAATGAAAATGTTGTCCCCAAATGCTTTCTCGTGTAATGACACTAAGAAAACACTTTTTTTTGCTGTCATTTACAGTATGTGTTGAGTTCCCCATATTCTGAACGAGGAAGCATTGGTGCAGCGACAAACACAATGGCCAAATGCAGCTGCCTTTAGCAGCCCACAGCGTGGTGTGTGCAGGATGCATGGCTGTATGTGTGTGGGAGCAAAGAAAAGACAAGTGATTGTGTACATTGAGCAACCTGACGTGTTGGGCAATCGTTCCTGCATTGTTTTGGGTGATTCTGTCCATGTTTAATTGGAAGAAAAGCTCTCTAACTTGGGAGAGTATCTCGTGATTGAGGAATAATAAAAAATTGCAAGAGGGAAAGACAGCAATTATTTCATCCATCCAGTAAGACTGAAGTCACCCACCAGATTTGAAGTCCGTAGTGGCAAATGCTACAAAGATTCATGGCAAAAAATCCCGTGTGTTTCTGAACGTGTCAGTGCAGCTAAAATAGCAACAATCTGACCCACCTTGATGAAGTATGTGCTCATCTAAATGGAGTGGAAATAAAGGTGCTGTGATACACCGAGGCTCAGAAGCACTCTGCTGAAAATACATGCAGTGTGCTGGAGGGTGGGTTGGACACATCTCTGCACAATGCCCACAAGATATTACCCATTAAAGCCTGACCTTGCAGACTCTTACTCAACCCTTACTCACCAAACTGACTGATTAACACTGCTAACTTACGGGACCCGAGAGCCCAGATCCACTGAGATGAGTAAGACTTATTCACAGCAGCACAGCCCTGCAGACCAGCGTTTCGTATTGAAGAAGACTTGAATGCACACATCAGGGCTGGTTTATAGCTTCCTTAAACTCCAAGCTGCTCTGTCCAGAAAGCTCTCCTTTGAATGAAATATCGATTTGAATCTATTACACAGATTACAGGAACTGTAACAAAGCCACCTCTCGCCTGCCTGAACTTCAGCAGAGGCACTTCCAAAGCCCTCAAATGGGGAAGTTGAAGTTACAAGAAAAGTTTCTAAAAAACTCTTTCCTGTTGCAACGAGCCAGGACAAAGAGGGTGAGGAACAGCTGAAAATTTAACCCTCAAGAGTGAGCGAGGCTTTGTTTGGCTTCCCTCAATGTTTTCTCTTTTAAGGCAGTCTGGGTGCGGGATATTTCACTGCCTCCTTTCTGATGTACTGAAGAGTTATGTGAGATGGCCTGAGGAATTTTCAGGGTAAGATCTGCTCTCTGCAGAAAGAAAAACACTCTCAGGAGATAAGAAGGGCGCTAGGAAAGCACAATATTTATGTTTCATAAGGGTGCAGGAGGTGTAAGAATAGGAGCATCCCAGGGCAGGATGCTTTCTCTGATCCATCTTGCAGCTCAGCCACAGCAGTGGAAGGAGAGGCTTTTCTCCTCACATTTCCTGAGCATCTCCTCAGTCTTGCAGAGATCTGCAGATGCCCCGTGGAAGCAAATTAGAGTTGTGTTGCAGGCACAGTTCTTGCCAATTGAAACCCAGAGGCTCTAACCCCTGTCTTGCTGCATGTTATTAAATTGGTTTTTCTTCTTGGCGGTGAAAGGGCCTAATTATCAGATTGCATTAGTCTTCATCTCTTAAAGTGGCCAAATCTGCTTTGGTTCTCAAGGATTTTATTGCCAGCTGAAAATAGCTTGATTGTATTGTACTTGCAAAGAAAACACAGTCTGGTCAAATCAAAGCCGTCAGTTTCCACTGGATGAGAAGAAATGCTGTAAATAAACTGTTGGGCTTTTTGTTGGTCTCACCATTTCCATGCATGTAAACTGGCACACGTTAGCCTTTCTTCTCTAACCGTTAAGTCAACTGGAAAAAATTCATCAGGAAAAGGTGGTTTTCCCATTCACAGTAAATCTCTGGGGTTTAGACATTAACTGGATCTTTATAGGTCTAATGCTGTGATCTCCAAGGAAAAATGAAGGCATGTTTGCAGTAGAAGGAATCAGTAAATCCAATGTAAATTCTGAAGGGAGATGGTTACATGTTTGATAAGACTTGAGAGAGCAAATAAATACATTTTGTACTTTGCAAGCAAAGAGGATATACAGAAATGCAGCCGGTGACACAGTTATAATGGATAATACTGTGTTTGTTCATGCAAGGAGTGAAATATGACAAAGGAAATTGAATTGTTTTATATCTCTGAGAAGAGTGGAATTCACACAGCCTTCACATTTTTTCTCTCTTTCTCAGACACTGAGTGCCCAAAATCTTTGCTTAAGATTTCTGTCTGTCTTCTTCAGCCTGATTCTAAAATCAAACCACCAGCTAGTGACTGTAGTTTGAAATATAGGAGTATAGGCTTTCAGTCATTGCTACTGCAGATGGTGGATGTGGGAAGCAAGGTGAAGAAATGTTGAAATAATGAATTACAAAGAGTAATCCATAGCTAATGGTAACTATATAGCTAGAAATCCAAATGCAACCCATGAAGATCTGCCAAGGAAAACTTAACTTCCAGCACCATATTCCATGTGGTTCAATTTTCACTGAATTAAGGTGCCTAATTTAAAGAATCTTTAACTTCCAGCTAAAGTTTTAGACCCGAAAAGATACGGTTAAACACAAAAAAGAGAATGGAGAGGGGAGCTCTTCCAAACTCTTACCTCTACAGGGTCAAAATCCTGTAATCAAATAGGAAATGTCATTCTGTTATTTAATGTATGCCTTGCACAGTCTTCATTTACTGGAAGCTTTGCTTTAGCAAGACAGTTATATAAACTTTTAGTTATCTGTTTTCATAATTTAGGATTATGGATCGTCTTTGGGAAATGCAGTGAGCTCCAGGGACAGCTAGAATTATTTGTGATGTTGCAATGTTTTTTAATTCAAATCACTCAGCCCTCAATCACCTGTGGCACTTTGTCCTCCAAGGCAGCATATGTCCTCAAAGGGGAATATATGTTCAGATTAATGAGAGGGGCCTTAGTGTAAGTGATAAAACTGCCCAATGATTTATATTTTAATAAGGATAAAATTTCCCTATGAATCTCAAAGTTGCAAAATGATTTTCTATGGTTCCCATTCTTTGGATGTCTCAAGGGAAAGGGAGTTAATGGTTAATAAACCAGCCAAAGTGGTGAGAACATGCCCATGGAGCCGACATAGGGAACGTGACAATTCCTGGAAGGAAAAGGGTTAAGAGCCAGCAACTTACACATACAAAATGATGTGACCACACTTTCATTCTCTAACTTACAGCTTCAGTTGTTTAGTTTTATTAGTGTGCCAAAATCAGGATAGGCTCAGGCGCAGCTGAACAGAATAGGGCAGGAATATCTTTGCATTTCTCTGGGTTGCACATTTGTAGTTATGCAAATGCTGTGAAGAAGCAGCAGGGCTGTCATGGGAGCAGGTCCTCACTGGGTTTACAGCTCTCACCTTCCCATGGGCTCTCAGCAGCCAAGGCACCTGCTTGCTCAAAAGCCCACATAGCGTTCAATCAATTTTCCAACCTACCTTTTGGTGCTGTGTACCAGAAAGGAAGGAGCAATGTTACCAGCCCGTATTCCCCCTAATTCCACTTCTGCTGCAAGGGATGAAGCTGAGATCTGCTTTGGTCTCTGTTACATTGTGTGTCGCCATAGGTAGAAATATGATAATAAAGAACAAAAGCAAAAAATGTGGTAGAAAGTGCTAGAAGTCTGTAACATACAGTATTCCTTCACCTATCCTACCAACTCATTTATTTTCACCTGTGTGATTCACCCAGGTGATGCTTG